GAGGAGGAGGAGGAGGAGGAGGAGGAGGAGGAGGAGGCGTCCAATAACGATGACGATGACGATGACGACCTCGGTCTTCTGTCGGGGGAGGCGGTGGCAGAGGCGGCGGAACTAGCGGCGGCGGCGGCGGCGACGCCCGCGACAACCGAGGAGGCACAAGTTGGGGCAGGCGAAGCGGTGGGCAGCGTCAGCGGCAGCCGCGGCATCAGCAGCCTCGACAACACCCCGGAAGAGCGGCAACAGCCGCAGCAACAGCCGGATAGCCCATTTTCAGCGACCGTTTCCCGGGCTGTTTCGTCTTCGTACCCCGCCGTTGGTGCACCCGTGGCTCGGAGCAGCAGCAGCAGCAGCAGCAGCAGCACGTCCTCCTCCTCCTCGTCGTCCTCCTCTTCGGCGGAAGACGTAGACATGCCGCTGTTCGACGAGGGCGGCATGATCGTTATGGCCACGGACCGGGAAGTGGGCAATGGTAACCTGCCTGCGCCTTCGTCGCCCTCCTCCTCCTCCCTGTCGTCGCCAAGCGCCGCCGCCGCCGCTCCCGTCGCCGGCTCTCTTCACAGCGACTACACGTTTCAGAGGAGTCGCAGCGACGGCCACGTCAGCGCAATCGCGACAGCGGCGGCGGCGGCGCCGTACCAGCAACACGACGGCTTATTCCGCGGGGGGAGCAACAGAGGCATACAGAGAAGGGATGTCGGTAGTAGCAGCAACGCCACCGGCGCCGGTGCAGGTGGCAGGCCTAGAAGGCGTGGGGTATCGCTCGGCGGCGGCAGCGGCAGCGGCGGCGGCGGCGGTGCTGGTGGCGGCGACGGCGGCATGCGGTCGGGCCTCTCCCGAAAGTTCGTGCGCAGCCTGATGCGGCACCTCAACATGCGGGCGGACTCCCGGCAGCGGGAGGAGCTCCGGTCCATGGTGGAGACGCTCAAGCACCGGAGCTCGGTCAGGGGGGTCGACATGAAGCAGGAGATCAAGCGCGAGGCCGTGTCGCTCCTCGGCCCGGAGCTCGCGCGCGAGGCCTTCGAGGCCTCGCTCTCCGAGACCCGCAACGAGTTCCACCGCCAGCGCAGCGCCGCCGCCGTGGCTGCCGCCGCCGCCGCCGCCGGTGCGGATGCCGCCCGCGTCGGCGGGGGCGCGGGGGCCGTCGCTGCCGCTTCCGCAGCCGCCGCCGCCGCGGCCGCCGCGTTCCGGCGAGAGTCGTCGTCGTCCGGCTTGCCGCCGCCGCTCTTGTCGCAATTCCTGTCTGCCCGGAGGAGCACCATCGGAGGGAGGATGATGGCGGCGGCGGGGGGGGCAGCCGGGGCGGCAGGAGCAGCGACTACCGTAACACGGCTGGAGAGCCAGCCGCCGCCGCGCAAGCGCCGGAGCTTCGGAGCGGGCAGGGACAGCCTCGACAGCAACGGGGAGGAGGCGGCCGAGGGCGGCGGCAGCGGTTTCGGCGGCGGTACCGCCGCCGCCGCCGGCGCAGCCGCCGCGGCCGGAGGCGGCGCCGTCCCGGCGTTCTTCGCCCTGCCGGCGGAGGACGTCGAGCAGCGGCTGAAGGCGATCCACGCGGGCCCGTCCCACGAGGGCTTCCACCTGTGCTGCGTCTGCCTGGACCGCCCGCGCGACGCCGCCCTGATCCACGGGAAGACCGCCCACCAGGCGTGCTGCTACGACTGTGCCGTGGAGCTGTTCGAGCGCGGGCTGCCGTGCCCCTACTGCCGCCAGCCCATCGCGCACGTCGTGAAGAACTTCGTTTGACTTGGCCGTAATAGATTCAAGTGGGCAGCTCGACTTGATTGGTCCGCTGGTGGTATTGTAATTTAGTTTTGGGGGTGCACGGAAGACAGCAGGGCGGGCGGGGGGGGGTGTTGGAGCTCCATCATGAGTGCACCCTCAGCTCGGCCGCACACTCCTAAACAACCTCATCTCTCCTCCTCCAGACCGTGGAGTCCGATCTGTGGTGTTGTCTGTCCGGAGCGTGGCATCACCATAATTGTTCTGGTTTTCCGGGCGTGTGCGCGTCGGGAGTGAAGGGG